TGCTATTAAAACAATTTTATTTATTATTTAAAGATTTTTTAAAGTAATGTCCACACCCAAAGTGGGGCTCGAACCACAACCCCAAGATCAAGAGTTGCATGCTCCACTGACTGAGCCAGTCAAGTGCCCCAAACTAAATTTTAATTGCACATATAGCCCGATAAATAACAGCAAGGAATAAAATGCCAAACATTACAAGATGCCTTTAAGTCAGGAAGGTAGCAAATATCCTTCATCTATGGAAAATAGGAAGCAATCAGCTTCAAGAAGTTAGGGGATTAGTCCCTAAATACCTATTGTCTCACTCTGCCCCATTATGCTTCTGAAAAGATAATCTCATAATAATAGTGAGGAATGAGTCACTAAAATGTAGTAAATATCTACTGTGTTGAAGAGATTATGTCAAATTAGGACAGGGAAAATACAAGATGAGTATTTTATATCTTATTGTGCCAGACATTAAGAAAGTACTCAAGGGGCACCTGGCTGGTTCAGTCGGTGGAGCATGAGACTCAATCGCAGGATTGTGAATTCAAGCCCCACATTAGGTGCAGAAATTACTTTAAAAAGAAAATCTTAAAAAAAAAAAAAAAAGAAGAAAGAAGGTACTCAATAAAGTAGGTAGATATTAAACCAGGAAAAAGTTTGATGACAAAGGATATTCATGTAGTTTCAAAGTACGTCCCCACAAATTACAACAGGAAAAGTAACAACTACATTGTAAAGAAAAAAACAAAACAGTTAAACTGAGTGATAAAAATAAACATTATCAATAAGGGACTTCATGTATTCCAAATGCTATACCCTAAGAAAGACATATCACCATTTACATAGTATTCCAGCCCAAAATACATAACTTAAATCTTACTCATAAGGAAACCAGTCCAAATTGAGGGACTTTCTAGAAAATAACTGGTTTGTATCTTTTTAACAATGTAAACGTCATGAAAGACAAAGAAAGATTGAGGAACTGTTCCAAATTAAAGATGATTCAAGAGACACCTAAATAAAATATCTTGATACTGAACTGGATCCTGTGATAGAGAAGAAAATTTGTTATAGAAGACATAATTGGGACCAATGACAAAATTAGGTTGTAAAGTATTCTAACAGTGGTAAGTGTCCTGAATTTGATTAAGAGTACTGTGGTTATGTAAAGGAGTATACTTGTTCTTGAGAACTACACACTAAAATATTAAGTAGTAAATGACCATGGTGTATGCAACCTAACTCCCACATGGTTCTGGTAATAAATACACACACATATACATGGGTGAGAGAAATAATTAAGTGAAGGTAGAAAATGTTAAAAATAAGCCAATCTAGGTGGAAGCGAGTATAATTTTTAGTACTATTCTTGCAAGTTCTCTGTAAGATGAAAATCATTTCAAAATAATAACTTGAAAAAAGATGGAGACATGTCAAAAAGAATACAGACACCAACTTGAAGGGGCCCACACTGGCCACTATCTAAAGAATATTCTCAGAGTTTCAATATCTCCCCACAAATTATTTACTATTTTTTTTTTAACGTTTATTTATTTTTGGGACAGAGAGAGACAGAGCATGAACGGGCGAGGGGCAGAGAGAGGGAGACACGGTGAAAACAGTTCCAGTGTTCATCAGCCCAGAGCCTGGCGTGGCTCGGAACTCATGGACCTGAGAGAGACTGGTTCAAGTCGGACACTTAACCAACTGTGCCACAGCGCCTTCTTCCCACCAATTAAAAGAGGAGAAATGGTAGAGTGCTGGGCAGTGCTCGCATTGGTTGGGTGTCTGACTCTTGATTTCGGCTCAAGTCATGATCCCAGGGTTGTGGGATTGAGCCCCACACTGGGCTCTGCACTTAGCGTGGGGCCTGCTTAAGATTCTTTCTCCCTCTTCCCCTCTTCCCTGCTCATACTCTCTCAAGAAAAACTTAAATTTAAAAAATACAAAAAATAAGATAAGAAGGAAAGTGATAACTTTACAATGAACAAATCTGGCAGTTACCACCTTAACTAAAGTTGACCAAAGTTAATGTTACCGTAACAGGACAAATGGACATCACCTACCTCCTGATGTGATTGATACACTCAGAAGTACATAATAGCTTCACTCTGTGCTGCTCCTACCAAAAATGCAAAACTGCATCTAATCATGAAGAAACATCAGACAAACCAAAATTGAAGGACATTCTAAAACATGGCCTGAACTCTAAAAAATGTCTGTCTGAGGGGCATCTGGGTGGCTCAGTCGGTTAAGCATCCGACTTCGGCTCAGGTCAGGATCTCACAGTTTGTGAGTTTGAGCCCCTTCTCAGGTTGTGCTGACAGCTCAGAGCCTGGAGCATGCTCCAGATTCTGTGTTTCCCTCTCTCTCTCTCTCTGCCCCTCCCCCACTCACACTCTCACTGTCTCTCGAAAATAAACATTAAAAAAAATTAATAGATAAAATAAAAAATGTCCAGCTGATGAAAAAGAGGGTAATAACTAGTTACAATATACTAATCCCCTAATAAGGGATCCTAGGTCAAGTTTTTTTAAAAAGGCTATAAAGGACCTCACTGGGATAAATGGCAAAATCTGACTATTCTGATTGCATACTTGATAACAGTATTGTATCAATGTCAAATCTCCCATATTTGATCATTTAACTGTGGCTCTTAGGAGGTAACACTAAAATATTCAGGAGTAAAGGGTCATGATATCTACAAAATTAATCTCAAATAATCCATCAATGATAATATGTAATATAGAGAAACTGATCAAGCAAATGCATCACAATATTAATAATTGATGAATCTAATGAGAAGGTTATACGGGAGAATATTATACTAGTCTTATAACAACTCCAAGTTTGAAATATTTTGAAAATAAAAAATTAATAGGGGCATCTAGGTGGCTCAGTCAGTTCAGCGTCAAACTCTTGATTTCAGCTCAGGTCATTATCTCAGGGCCATAGGATCAAGCCCCATGTCAAGCTCCGTGATGAGCATGGAACCTACTTGAGACTCTCTCTCCCTCTCTTCTCCTCTCTCTCCCCCTCCCTCTACTCCACTCACACTCTAAAATAAAAAAAATTAAAAAAAAATTAGTAATAACCATATATTGTTCCCACTATCAGAAATATCAGAAATGTTATTTTGTATTTGGAGGGGGAAATCTGTATAAATATAAATAGACGTTGGGAATGAAAGCTGGTGTAGCCACTCTGGAAAACAGTATGGAGGTTCCTCAAAAAACTAAAAATAGAACTACCCTACGACCCAGCAATTGCACTACTAGGCATTTATCCACGGGATACAGGTGTGGTGTTTCGAAGGGACACATGCACCCCCATGTTTATAGCAGCACTATCAACAATAGCCAAAGTATGGAGAGAGCCCAAATGGCCATTGATGGATGAATGGACAAAGAAGATGTGGTATACATATACAATGGAGTATTACTCAGCCATCAAAAAGAATGAAATCTTGCCATTTGCAACTACGTGGATGGAACTGGAGGGTATTATGCTAAGTGAAATTAGAGAAAGACAAAAATCATATGACTTCACTCATAGGACTTTAGCAGACAAAACAGATGAACATAAGGGAAGGGAAATAAAAATAATATAAAAACAGGGAGGGGGACAAAACATAAGAAACTCATAAATATGGAGAACAAACTGAGGGTTACTAGAGGGGTTCGTGGGAGGGGGGATGGGCTAAATGGGTAAGGGGCATTAAGGAATCTACTCCTGAAATCACTGTTGCACTATATACTAATTTGGATGTAAATTTAAAAAAATAAAAAATTAAATTAAATTTAAAAAATAAATAAATAAATGGATGTGCACATTCACAATCTCTCTCATACTTTATTACTTTCAGATGCTTCTAAGGGAAGGGCGGTATATAAAAAAGAAAAGAGACCATACAATGAAACAAACGAATACACAGAAGCATTAAAAACATAAATCAAGATGACAGAGCCAAATATATTAATATACACTAAGCTTTTGTATTAAGTTCTCAAAATGGGCCAAAGATCAAAGATCAAACTTGAACCATTAAGGTCACCAGCACCATGAAAGTGTTACCAGAAATCTACCAAATTTGAGGAACACCTATTCCTCTTCAAAACAATGTACATGCCTTATGATTTCAGTACTCAATTCCCACTTGCCACCTCTTTTTTTTCTAAACATTTTTTTTTTTTAATTTATCTATTTTGAGAGAGAGAGCATGCAAGCATGGGGTGGGGGGGTGGGGGTGGTGGTGAGGAGACAGACTCCCAAGCAGGTTCCACACTGTCAGTGCAGAGTTTGATGTGAGGCTCCAACTCACAAACCATTAGATCATGACCTGAGCTGATCAAGAGTTGGACGCTTTTAGCTGACTGGGCCACCCAGGCACCCCTCACCTCTTTTTTTTTTTTTTTTTTTTTTTTTTTTTTTTTTTTTTAAGATTTTGTTTTTAAGTAATCTTTATACCCAATGTAAAGCTCGAACCTTGCATGCTGTATTGACTAAGCCACCCAGGAGCCCCTCCACCTCTCTTTTTATTGGCAATTTTTAAGCCAATATATGCGAAGTTCAACCCAAAAGACTATCTTTCTCTCTGACAAATCATATACCACTTAAATCAGAAAATATTCAAGAAAGGATAGTTTAATACCAGTGAACCAATGATTCAATGCAGAATTTAACATTTTGGGGGAAGACCTGGGTGACTCAGTCAATTGAGCATCTGACTCTTCATCTCAGCTCAGGTCTTGATCTCAGGGTTTTGAGTTCAAGACTCACACGGCTCCACACTGGGTGTGGAGCCTGCTTAAAAAAAAAAAGGAAAGAATTTAACATTTTTTTCACCCAAAGAAGAAATTATACTCACTTCTTTTGGAGTGTGATTATCAGCAATTCTCTGACCTTCAAAGAGAAACCTGAGTGAATTCATTGGAACTCCCTAAAAAGGTAAAAACAAAAAAACAAAAACAAAAACAAAACCATATATATATATATATATATACACACACACACACACAAATCTTAAAAGAGATAGTAGGAACTTTGATGCACAAAAAGCAAACATGAGAGCTTCAACAGAATACACTGAACATAAAGCATATCTATCCTATCATAATTACCATTTATTGAGTACCACCTATTTGCTGGGCCCTCCCTATACCAAGTATTTCACATACATAATCATGTTCATCACAACAGTCCTGGAAGGTAGGTATCATCACCTTATATTCACTTTATAGGTAGGGAATCTAAGGCATGGTAAGGTCATACAAGCCAGATACCAATTTAAGGCCCATCTGTTCTTAAACCTGTGCTCTTAACCACTATTCTATAGTTTGCTCTAAAACCTGTATGCTAACATAAAAGATAAAATCAGAAATTGGATAAGCACTCTCACTAGTTTCCACCTATACAATCAAAATTAGTTTTAAGCAGATTAAATCACATATATATGGTAAAGCACAGTAGCTAGCCAAGTAAGCTACAGTAAACCTGTGATGACACAGACAGCACTATAACTATCAACTATTCAACAAAAAGAGCTAAAAGCAAAGAAATGACTCATTTAAAGAAAAACTGCTTCACTAGTAAGTATAAATCAAGAATCATTTCTTTAGTCTAAAAGTAGAAAAATTAAAACTATCTTCCAAGCAGTATATACATAAATATATGAGACCCTGCAAACTTATCCTTCATTTGATTTTAAATTCTTTCTAGGCTTATACAAAATAATAAACATACCTGACAAGGGCAAAATATTCTTTGTTTTAATTACAGAATCTTTTAAAAAACTTTATCTTGTGCTGAAGTCAAAAAGAAACCAGTCTATAACATCAAAATTGAAAAATGACTCAAAAATTACTTTATATACTTTTCAATCTCTATTGCATGTTACATACTTCAGAAAAATTAAGTTTCCTGTTCCTTGTATATCAGTAAATACAAGAAAAAATTATCAAGCCTCTTTGAACGAAGCATAAAAACTTTTCTGAAGACTGTAAAGTATACTCTGAAGCATAAATAGGAAAGTTAAACCCCCAAACCCACCATCTTCAATCTTGGATCAAAGTTTAGCTTTCACTTTAGCACTGTGATTTACCTCTTTACTTTGCATTGTTCTTCCTCAGTAACCAACTCCATCATCTATAGATGGGGTGAAAAGACTAGCTGTTGTGAGGATTAAAAGGCAATGTCTTTAAGGACCAAGCATAGTGCACTTAACATATGTTCTTTCCCCTGTGAACATCTCCATTTTAGCTCCCAGCAATATTATTAAAATGTGAACTAGCTGAGCGCCAATTAATCAGATTTTAGTGAGTTTAACCACTAACATCAAAAACAAAGAAATATTTGTTTTATTCACCCTAACACCTAAGTGATCTCTTTTCTTCTGGCAAAATGAGTTTTATGTTGGTTACAAATTTGAACTATAAAAAGCAAAGTTTCTAAACATAAAACCTATATAATACCTAAGTTAATATCATGTAATATAGGGGCGCCTGGGTGGCACAGTCGGTTAAGCGTCCGAC